AAAATAGGGAATCGAAATAAAATAAAATAAACCTAGTAAATAAATTTGGAAAGCATAAATAAAAACAATAAATAGACGTCATGCCCTTTAATTAATGAATGCTTCTAGTTATAGAAACACACATATTTTTAACAAAAAAATAAAAATAGAAAATCACATAAATAGACGTCATGTCCATTGATTTATAATTAACACAATTATTGTCAAGAAAAGTTAATACTTATCTTGAAACTATTCACTTTTACGTATTTTACGTTTGCACAATCAAAATTCAAATCCCACCGTCCAATCAAACCATCTAGAGTTGCTAATCAAATTCTTAAGATAAGCTATTTCTATTTGTGAGCATAAAGAGAATAACAAATTGACAAAAAAGTGTCAATTTTCGATTGCTTAGGCTACACTTTAAAGAAAACCATGTTTCGTCACTTCCGATATTAAAAATTGTGTAGTGTCCGTAAAGCACAAGGCAAGAGATGACGTTGCAGCGAGAACTTTTTCTTTATATATTATTCTACTTTTCCACTAATTAGTAATTAGCGCATTTGTTAAAACCGAATTGGTCGATCCGGTCCAAAAATCGACGAACCAGATGGTGGTCTATCCAAGTGTATTAATTGCAATATTAAACAAAATTTCATTTTTTTTCTTTTTAATATTTTTCAATATTATCTTATGAACCTTTTAGAAGCTATAAAATAGACCCCTTACCCATATACCACTTATAATTAATTATTTATTAAGAGCTTGTTTGATATGGATTTTTTGGGGGAAGAATTGATTTTGAATAGTGATATGATGTGAAATGTGTGGTTGAAAAAGAAGAAAAAATTATTGATGTGATGGAAAATATTATTTTATTGAAAAATGTGTGGTTGAAAATGAGAATTGATTTACTGTAAAAAATGAGAATCCATATCAAACAGTCCCTAAAATTACAATTTTTATTAACCATAGTTTAGAAGTTGGTGAAGTCATGAACATGGATTTTAAAACATTAGATTCGCATGTGTCATGCATCTTTATTGATTATTAAAATTTATTTAAAACCTACTATGGATGAACGTGTCACGTTCCACTTCCAATGTATGAAGTTGATTTATGGGATAATTGCAGCTGCGGTCCCAAACCTTTCAGATTTTTGCGCATTTTACCCTAACCTTTGATTTGTGCCAACGGAGGTCCCAAACCTTTAATAAATATGCGGCAGAGGTCCAAATGGATGAGTGCCATCGAAGGTCCCAAACCTTTAATAAATATGCGGCGGAGGTCCAAATGGATGGTGTCCATCCATTTGACCGTTAGTCAACCCAAAAAGTCAAAATTAATTCAATTTTTACCAAATTGAAAAGGGCAAAATGATACTTTCAATTTTCATCATTTTAAATAGGTTTAAATATTAATTAAAAACCAAAAAATAAAAAGAAATTATAACCCTTCTTCCTCCCCAGGCTCCCGACCGTCAGCACCTCCGGCCCGAAGCCGGCCACCACCGCCACCGGCAGGCACCACCCCACTCTCTCCACCCCCAAAACGCCACAACCACAATCAAATCAAAACCTAAACCCAAATTCACAATCAAACCAAAATCCTCAAAACAAAGCAATCCATCTCCATCAGAGTCCATCAGAACCACAGCCACCTTTGCGTCTGCCAACGACAACTCTCCTCCTCGGCCTATTGATTGAACACACTGCTGCAACTCTAAAGGGAAAGTAACAGAACAGATGGTAAAGAACAACAATAATCTTATGAAAAGCCATTAAAAAACAACAATAATCTTATGAAAAGCCCCTGTTTGACCCCCATTTTTAGTAAGTTATAAAACCCGAGCGTTCTTAATAGCCAAACGAACGTTGTTTGTCTGTGTGTGAAAGAGAGGGAAGCATTTTTTTGTTGTTCTTCTGCTTCTGCTTTCTGGGATTCCAAGTAAAGGGCTGTTTAATTCGAAAACAATTAAGAAATCATGGCCGCATTTTTCACCCCTTCTGTAAACCCAGTTTTTTGTTCAACCCACACACCCAGTTTTTTCAGGATCTCACCTGAAACCATGGCCGCATTTGGGAGATAAGGGGCTGCACCTGTCAATCTGGGACCTATGCACCTAATTCTGGTGGCTCCGCCTCCGCTGCCGCCAGTGGAGTGGGTTTCTTCCTCCTTTTTCTCCACTGGGGCCTCTGGTTCAGGCGGCGGGAATGGAGTGGGTTTATTCCTCCTTTTTCAACACAGGGAATGGTGGATTTGGGAGGTGGTTTTGGGCGGCGTGGGGGCTGAAGGCTTTTTGGTGTGGAGGATAAAGGCTATTGCCGACACAAAGGCGGAGGCGGTGGTGGTGCCGGCACAGAGGTTGTGGTGGTGCCGGCTGCCATTGTTGTTGGAGAGGAATAGAGAGTTTTTTATTTTTTTTCTATTTTTTTGTTTATTTATGTAATTTGTAAGAATAAGTAAAATTCCTATTTTGCCCTTTTCAATTTGGTAAAAATTGAATTAATTTTGACTTTTTGGGTTGACTAACGGTCAAATGGATGGAAACCATCCATTTGGACCTCCGGCGCATATTTTTGAAAGGTTTGGGACCTCCGCTGGCACAAATCAAAGGTTAGGGTAAAATGCGCAAAATTCTGAAAGGTTTGGGACCGCAGCTGCAATTATCCCTTGATTTATTGGGAAATATTAGGAGTGACGACATCGAACCTAGATCCTTATTAAAAACTAAGATGATGTAAAGACTCAATGTCAATTCATTTAGGATTCATTTGGCATGATTTTTGAAACGTCAAGAAATTTTTGAGACACAAAAACTATTTTTAGACTTGTTTAACTAATTTTATAAAAGTATTTTGAAAAAATGGATTCAAGCGACTTCCTCTAAAAGCATTTTCAGAATAGAAAATTCTTTAAAAAATTAATTTTCAAAATAAAAATAAAAGTTATTTCCTTCAAAAGCTATTCAATAGAAAGTAAAAGTAAAAGGAAGCGTTTCTTTTAATTTGGAGAGCGTTAAAAGAAAACTGGTCCAAACAAAAACTCTTCTATAGAAAGTAAAAGCAAATTGATTTTCAAACAAAAATAAAGATAATTTTCTCTAAAAACTATTTTACAGAAAATAAAAACTATAACAAACGGACCCTTAAACTCATAAATAAAGTTCGAGCTAGAGTCACTATAAAGGTAGCCAAGCTCGTTGATTGAACCCTTTTTATGTAAATGTTTCGACAACATACTCACGACATTGGCGCGAGCCGTTAAAAGCTACAATTGTCAACAAAATTTTGTGAAGTTAACATTTTCGAATTATTTTTTAAGTTAATAGCGTTCTATTTGCCAAGTATGAAATAAATAATTACTTTTTAAAAATAAGTAACTTCGTGGACTTAAAAATTTAAGATATTTTGAGATGTTCGAAATAAAATAATATTTAAAAGTAACTTTACTATAAAAAATTAAAATAACAAGCCATCCCTCCATTGGCTTGCGATCAATTGGCCACGCTATGTTTGGTCCAGTTACTTCGTTCCACTTTTCAACTACTCATTGGTTTTAATTTAGTGGTCACAATTTATTTTGGATTAAAATATTAAAAGAATTAAGTCATGTACTTTTTATATATAGGCCACCATGTACTTTTATTTTCAATTGAAAAATTGCATTAATGGCTCCTAATTTATTGTAGAAGTAGTAAGTTGATCTTCATCTACTCATTTTTTTCCGCTGGACAAGGTGACACTGACCCTGCTATCACGTTGATCGGTGATAACATGCGGTAAATTGCTATATATGACAATAAGTTGAGGATCAATGATGCAATTTTCCCTTTTTGTTTTTAAAATTTAGAAGTCTTAATAGTACATTAAAGTCCATGAAATTTTTAGGATAATTGACCATTTTGCCTTACGTGCCCATATCCGTAAATATTGTCGAGTCTAATTCACTTCAATACGATATATTTAATTCAACAAGGAGCATCTCAATTATTGACTATTATTAATTTCTTGTAAAGAAAAAAGATTATTTGTGCACACACGGGTTATGATGTACGCTCACCTTACAAGTTCTCTTCGACCCTGAAGAGCCAAACTCGAGTCATTAAATATCATATGATATCAAAGAATGGTTACTATAACAACACTTTTTTAACGCAAGTTAAATGGAAATTTCGTTTTTTGTTCTCTTTATGAAAGATATAAGGGGATACGTTTTACACTTATCTAAGAACTTGTGAAAGGTTGATGAAAATAAGAGAGCTTGGGATAAATTTTTTCTTTTAAGTCTCGAGAATTTGTACACGTCTTCTTGTCCGAAAAAATATTCATACCGTTGATATCGACAAATCTAAGACCGAAGCCAACTCATTGTCACGTTATATAAGATGTGAAGTGTACTTAACAGTGTCTAATGCGACTTTTGCAATGCGTGTACGGAAGCGGACTCGTGTTAGGTTTGTAGAATTTAGTTGTTGACTCGAGCATATAACTAAAATAAATAATTTATTAACTCATACATAACTAAACATGGGACCTACTAGTACTATATATTCCGTTAGTATGATTGACTCGTTTGATGGGTTCACACTATTGGGATGGTTGACTCGTTCAATTAGAGATGACAATGGGATGGGTTCGGGGAGGGGGTACCAACCCGTCGGGACGGGTTTTTTTGTCCCATTCGGGGCAGGGCAGGCTTTTTTTTGCCATCATTGCGAGGGATAGAGTTTCACATTATTTGGGACTTCAACGAATGGAGGAAACAAGAGAATATAAACAAAGAAAAATACTTCAAATTTTGATTTTTCGATACTAAGAATAATTATACCTAAAATTCGAAAAAAAAAATCCTATTATTTTACACATACTCGTCTGCATTAATCTAGAATATAGATCCCAATTTTCTTTTTCTTGCACGTAAAATATGCCAAGACAAAATGAAAGAAACCACAATTTGTACAAAAATAAAAAAGGAACTCAAAAGTTTACAAAATGTAGAAAATTCAAATACAAGAATCAATACGAATAGGCCACCCGTTGATGCACTCGTTCTTTAAGAATTCCATTGTAAAGTGCCACTCTATTTGCTGGCATTTCTTGAAGTTTCCCACTTGTGTTAGAACTCGACTCCAAGTTAACTTTGGCACAATTATTACTGTGTAATCTTCTGTACTCATCACTATTCCCAGTAGGGTCCACCACATCTTCTGCAAAATGAACCCTCTTCTTCTTTTTCTCTTTCTTCTTCCCTTCTGCACATGCAAGACATATAACATGAATATATGCATGCATAAAACTACTGTCGAGTCTTTTCCAATACTGCGTAAATTATAAAAAAAGTGTGAGCATACCTGTCGAGAGGCAAGATCGAGGAGAATCTGAAATTGGGTCGATGGAAAGCTCGGAATTCGAGGGAGATTTTTGGAGTCGAAGAGCTAGAAGAATGAAAGTGCCAGAAACAGCCATGGCTGTAGCCAAAACCATGCCTTGAGAGTTCAAGATTGAAGACATATTTTCTTGATTATCAAATGATCAGAAAATGAGACAGAAAGAAGAGTTTACTTTGTGATGAAATGAAAGGAGAATAAATGGTTAGTTTTATGGGCGGTTGAGACTAGGTGGGGACAAGATAAATAATAATATATTTGGTGTGGATGAAAATGAAATAAAGTATAATATATTGGGGTATCAAATGGGATTATTTAATTTTATGATTACCGAATGGAAAAGATATGGGAGACTATTGGTTGGGAGAATTAATGAATGAAAGAAATAGGGATTGACTCCTAACTTTTTTCTCGTGTACCGCACGGCAATGTAGACTTCATGGGTGATGTCATTCGCATCTTCAAGAAGACAGCTTTATGGTAGATGTCACAACTTGCTTCAATGGGTCCATGACTAATATTTTATCCTCCATTTGATAAAACATTATAAATAATTAATCGTCATTTTCAATTACATATATCAAAAAAATGATTCGAGTACAGAAGAAAATTAACAGAATTTTTCCAGAATTTTAAATTAATCTCACATGAGGAGGTGGGGCCCATATGAATTAAATATTGTTAAAAATAATGGAACCCATGTATTGTGTGTATTCGGTATAATTTCTGTAAAATATTTTCTGTACCCTTAAGTGATTGCATATTTTAATAGATACACAACTATAACAAACATGCTACGTGTACATTAAACCCTCGAGACCGAAGGTAATAAAATTTAATAAGTTTTTGAAATAATATTTTTTTGAAAAATGTGTAATCGTAAAAATTTTTGATTTACGTGTAATATTATTTTATGAAAAATTGTGTGGTTGGAAATAAGAGAGAAGAATAAATTTTTGGAATAATGAGGCTAACTTTTACATTAATTTTGACGTCATTTGACATAACATCTATCATAGCCATTAATTTTTACAAGGATAAATCGATATGTACATAATTATTGTACATAATGGATTACATAGGTTTCTGTGAAAGAAATCCGGACGTGGATGTAAAGTGTGGAAAAGTAAAAAATTGTAGACTACCGATGGATGCGCACCGCATGTCAATTATGTAATGTATTATATAAATGATTATGTACTAGTAACATTATCCTTTTTACAATATCCTTTCAAATCAATGGCCAGATTTTAACACGTAGGGGGAATGCCATCCTTAATGTCAACAAGAATGTACATCTAGATTTATTTTAATTCCAATCTATTTATTCATCACTAATTTCTTTTTTATTTATAAATTAAACCGTTAAAATGGAGGCTTAACGTAGGTGTGATTTAATTATTTTTTCCTATTTTTATTGGGTTTGAATAGGGATGACAATGGGTTGAGATGAACAGGTAAGCCAAGTATGTGCCGTTCCACGACCAATTTTCGAGTTCGTTTGACCCTCTGGCTCATCTATTTGCGACGAGGTGAGTCGCTCGTGAACCGCTCAGCTCCATAAATTTTTCCCTCAAAAGTTGGATAATTTTTATTTTTGCGATTTGTAAAATTATGGAAATTTATATAAAACTTAAATTTGAAAAAAAAAATTCAAATTATTCAATATATTTTAAATTTTTTTAATGAAACTCCTTTATTTTTTATTATTCCAGTTTGAAAATTAAGAAAATTTGAAAAGGTAAACTTGAAAAATCAGTTTTGTTAATGTTTTAATAGCGCAAATAAAGGTTGTAAAATCTCACATTTTATTAAGATTTGGGACTGATTGATATGTAGTTGGAATTAAAATTGTACACGATTTAATTATTTTATATATGATTTTTCGAAACGAATAAATTTTAATTTTACAAATAAAAGAAATAAAATATTGTTACCTCACTGTTTTCTTAATCTGTAATTGCAGTATTTGAGAGTTGTCGAAAGTTAACAAAAAGCTTCAGCTAAAAAATTACAAATTTGTCATAAATAACCCTTTATGTATTAGATTATATAACACTTTATATATCAATATTTTTTAAAAAAATTATTCTCGAAAAATTCACTTACGAATCTAAAAAATTGCTATTTTTTTCTTTCTCATTCATGTATCTCTCCATAAATTAATATCTAGTCGAAGCTCCTCACTAAATTTAAATGATCTTATTAAAGTCCTTTAAAAAATATTTAAAGAAAAATAAATTAAAGTATTTTTGTCTTTTTTGTCATTTATAATGGCATTTTAGTAAAAAAAATTCAGCAAATGATGTTTTTTTTTTATTATAATCATTATGCAAAATATAAATTTGTAAATAGAGTATGTAAAGAGTAATTATATTCTATATACAAGGTGCATTTTGTAAATTTCCCTTCTAGATTCTATTATTTGTGTTTTTTTTTTTTTTTTTAGCCTCGCTTCGGAAAATATCTACGAACAGATTATTTTTTCCAGCCTTTTGTTTCGCAATATAGGCAATTCCTAATGAAAAAGTTACATATTTTGGACGGAGGTTTGATTCAGTTCAAAATTAATTTATTAAATTTACTTTTCAGTAAAAATATGTTGCCAAACATATTATATAAGTTTTTTACCAATAAAAAGAATTATTTATTTTAATAGTAATGAAATGTTAATTTAATAATTATTAATATACTTATTTTGATTAAAATAGTTACTTATAAGTAAATTTTGTAAAGCTTAGCCCTACATGCATTATTTCAGGAGCGAAGACTTAAATTGTACAAATAGATAATAAGTTGTAAATGGCATAGTTCGAGTTACATGTTTTTCTTTTTTGTGAAAAAAAATTTCTCCGTGGAATTTTTTTTATTACATATATACCCCCTCGAAATTTATTTTAACACTTTTTGGCTCCGCCCCTACATATATGTCACGTTTTCGCGTCACTTCTACCTTTCTAGTTTCAATTTACTCTCTTTTTGAATGATTATTTTAGGGATCTACCTTAGTTGATCGTGAAATTTATGCACGAAAAAAAAGTATGGATATTGGTTTCAGCTAATTTTTTTTTCTCTTTCATTGAATACACGGCGAGGTCGGTTGTTTCATCCACGACATCTTTCTCTTTTTTTCTAACTTCTCTCTTTCCATCTTTTGTTGACTATATGGAGAGATTAGTTATTTCATCCACGACATTTTCGCACCAAAACAAGTCCCCCACGCTTTGGAGTTTCTGATGATGAGATTTGATTGATTTAAGACTAAAATGACTTTCGGCTAAATGATTATCATTATTGTTGCTGTTGTTGTTCTTTTCTCGTTTTTCATATGTTTTTTGGCCAATGTTCTTTGTCCACCGTTCAACTTTCACATGGAAGGGATTTGTTTTATTCAAGTTTCAATGGAGGCATCAAGATCCAAAAGGGCCCAAATTAGGTAGTGACCTAATTTCTTGCATTATTATGGAAACATTGAAATTATATATACCATCTATAAAATTATCAATACTAAAATTATTATTTTTCATAGTTGCATATCTGTTCTTGGAATTGCCAACCTAGGCCGAGTCAAGGTAAGACAATTTATTTACTTATTTATTTTTTCACAATGGGCTATATAGAAGAAAAAATTTCATAGATATTTTTTACATATAAAAAAATAAATGAGCTTGGACAGCCCTAGGGCTATCTACAACCGTGATTGCCACCTCTTAAAAGCTTTCAATAGATAATTTTTTTCTAAGATACCTAATATTAATAAGTCTCGAGGAACTATTATGTTTGAGTACTAGATCCAATTATTTAAGAAAACACTTAGTTAGAACAAAAGACTCCTACGATAAAGATTAGTTTAAGTTATGACCTCACAACTATGCATCCATCTAACCATAATCGAATATTGAGTATCTTAGACAAACTAATTAGCTGATGAAAAACGCAAGTTTGACCATAACAATACCTAGAGGGGGTCAATAGGTATTTTATGCGGAATTAAAATCAATCATGAATTAAACAGAAATAAGTCACTTTTAATTTTTATCTAGATGATTAATCATGCAAGTCATATTATCCTATATTGAATTACCGCAGTTTACTTATCATAAACAATAAATAATAAAGCAGTAAAGAATACAAGAATTGTTTATGGAGAAACCCAACTGAGAAAAACTCCAAACACTTTGTCAGTCAACCCACTGTAAACGAATCTAACAACTTGCAGTTTACCAGACTAGACGACATGTACTATCTGATCACTTGACTGCAATCCTTACAGTTCTCATTGGAACCCATGTTCTCCTGCACCAATCCTTAGCCGATGTTGCCAAAGTTCTCTGTGGAATCTGCTACTCTGCAATACTCCAAACCTTGTGAATTCGTTTATCTCCCGTAGATTACGAAGAACGACCCGTTCTTCACAGATTGGAACTCCATTCGCCTTCCTTGATCTTCAACACCTTTTACAGATATGTAGGAAGTTTGGTTTCTGGTATTTGGATATCGGATCTAATGTTTTTCTGACAGATGATCTCACACAAGATGAAGGTTGAAGTATATGATATGGATGAATCACTCTCTAATCTGTTTCTCTCAATGTTCAACCTTGAAATTTCGTACATGTGAGTTTTGATATTTACAGGTAGGTCAAGATGTCAATGGGCCTAGTAAAAAACCTTGGAATCACTAAATAAAAATTTTCTGGACAGTACTGTCGCTCGAGCGAGGGCTCAGCGACAGTCGAGTGACAATCTATCGCTCGAGTGAAGGAGGGACGACGGTCTAGCGACAGTGTTTTTACTTTTGTAGATCGAGCCAACCATTGGCGACAATCCAGCGAAAATCTGCGCCGTTTTCATCCTTGTTCCAAACTCGAAACCCTATATCTATTCAACTAACTTTTAAAAAAATTACACATTACTCCTTGAACTTTGACACTCTATCAAATTAAGCCATTTTATTCACAGAATATATTTTTGTAGCTTGAGCCAACCCTTAGCGACAGTCTAGCGAAAATCCGCGCCACTTTACTCCTTGTTCCAAACTCGAAACAGTAGACCTATTTAACTAACTTTTAAACAAATTGCAGATCAATCCTTGAACTTTGAGACTCTATCAAATTAAATCCTT